AAAAACTTTTTTAAATAAATTTTGTGCAGGCGAAGTGTCCGGGCTTATGAAGTCTGCCGTAGCATATGGTGACGTCCAGGCCTTCACGGGCCCGGAGCGGCACCCGGCCCTGCAGGCTCCCGCCACGCTGAGTGAGCACGGAGTTCCCGTCGTTTGTCTTTCACGCTGTATTTTCACTGCGCCTGTTCTGTGTTTAGATGTATCTGGACGCACAGGTCCTCACCACTGCAACAGCTGTGTCGCAGTTGGCTGCGGCGCCCACGTCACTCGCCGCAGCCCAAAAGCAGGAGGCTGCACCACCGTGCTCAGGCGAGTGGCGGTTGCCCCACTCAGGTGTGTGTGAGGACACTGCGGTCACACGGTGACCTACCCACCCGCCAACGCATATCTCGGCATGTGTCCCAGTGGTTCAGCGCCCCACGACTGTATCTAGCATGGTGCGTTTTCACTTTTATTCATCTCAAAGGACTTACCAGTTTCCCTTCCTTGACCATTTGGTAGTTTAATTTGTGAATGTTCCAGTTTTCCGTGTTTCTGATTTCATTCCACTGTGGTCAGAGAAGACACCTGTTATTTCAGTCTTAAGCTTGCGGAGGCTCATTGCGCAGCACGCGGTCTGTCCTGGGGTATCTCTGCATCGGGGGGACAGGCAGCTGCTATCTGGGGCGAGAGCCCTGCACAGTCTTCAGGTCCAGTGGTCTACAGTGCTGCTCAGTCCTCTGTTTCCTGATTGATCTTCTGCATAGAGTTCTGTCTTTTGTTGACATCTGTTTAACAGCTTTTAAAAACAGCCAGCGAGTGTCGTGCAGGCTTTGGATCAGGCTGGGAAGTGGGTTTTGTGTGGGCTTTGACGCAGCCATGCCCATCTGTGTTGAGTGGACGAGAGCAGTGCCGGCAGGCAGGAAGCTGGGCCTGGCGGTGTCCTGGAAGCGCATGCGTGGATGGCGGGTCATGTAACTGCCCCAGTGCCAGGCCCCATTCCCCTCCCCTTTCCACAGAGCAGTGTCCTGCCACGAGGCCGGCACCCACAAGGAACAGCGTCAGGTGTGCTGTGGGCTATGCCCCTGTCAACTTGGAAGAGCCACATTTTAAAATTTTCTTTCTATTTTTTTGTTATTTAATTTTTTTTTTTTAGAGACAGGGTCTTACTCTGTGACCCAGGCTGGAGTGCAGTGGTGTCATCATAGCTCACTATAGCCTTGAACTCCTGGGCTCAAGTGATCCCCTGCCTCAGCCTCCTGAGTAGCTGGGACTACAGGTGCACCACACAACACCCAACTAATTTTTTAACTTTTCATAGAGATGGGAGTCTCACTGTCTTGCCCAGGCTGGTCTCGAACTCCTGGCCTCAAATGATCCTCCTGCCTCAGCCTCTCACAGTGCTGGGATGTGCTGGGATGACAGGTGTGAGCCACTGCGCCTGGCCAAGAGCCAAATTTTAGTACATTTTCAGCTTGTTTCCTGTTTCGAGGGGACTGCTGAAGGCCTCACATCCAGGTATGACATGTACCTTCAGTGGTGCTGCTTTCAAATTAATCAAATGTTTTATTTGGTGAGGGCTTGACGCTCTCTTACTCACTGACCCTCTTAATGGGAAACTCCCTTGTGGTCTTATAGCAGGGAGCCTGGATCAGATCCATTGGACGGTCCAGGCCAGCCCCCGGGACGTCCTCTGTCCCCTGCCGTTCTATGCCCCAGTCTTGAACAAGCTTGGCCACTTGTGACCAGTGGGCCTGGCAGAGGCAACACGAGGCCGAGGGACCCCTGAAAGCGTGAGCTGGGCAGCTCTCCCGTCTCAAAGGCCCCTAGGAACAGCAAGGCCCGGGGGGTCCCAAGGTGGGGAGCCCAGACTCCCGTGGCCCCCAGGAATGCAGGAGGGGACTGTGCATGCCTGGGGTGGTCTGCAAGTGCCGAGTGTGACAGATGGCAGCTGAGAGTGTTGTTTACGGCCTCCAGGGCTTTGGCCACAGCGAAAGCCAACTTTCCCCTCTTAACTACCTCTGTAGCACGTTAATGGCCCCGACTGGGAGAACTATTTCGAGTTGCAGACAGCTTGATTTATCCCAGCTCTGTTCTTAAATGGTTGCTAATTTCTCACTGCAAGAAAATTCACAGTTCCTTGGTGAGTCAGCTTAATAACAAGCCTGGGGCACACACCACAGCTAACGGAGCACTCGCGTTCAGGGCAGCTAAATCCTGGTCTGCGTGGCCAGGTGCCGCATAGGTCGTACTCTCAGGCTGTGTGTGGAGACAACAGCGGGCGGCTCACAGATGGTTTGGAAGCGTCAAGACCCTGCGTTCTGCAGAGCGGGTTCCCCCCAGGCTGCGGTGGGGCCAGGGATGCACAGCCGGGGACGCTTTAGGGCCCGGTCCCCAGCCTGCAGCTTGATGGCGCATGTGTCTAAACACGTCTGTTGGGCGAGTAGACCCACGCTACTCCGTTCAGCTCTCTGTCCATAATTTAGTTTTTATCTCTATAAACAAAGTGGAAATGCTGAAAATTGTGGACTGTCCCCACATTTGCTCTGCGTGTACCTGGTGTGACGTCACTGTCAGCCCAGATGGCGTTGGTGGCGCTGGGCTCAAGTCCTCCAGAGCTGTGAGGAAATAGAGGTTCTTGTGGCAAGTGACAGAGTGGAAGGCACTTCTTCCAGAGCAGCTGCTGCCGAGGTCAGCAGAGCCTGCAGAGTTCCCCTCGCCGGTGGTGTTTGAGGAAGGGGACTCACGTGCCGTCCTGGGGCCCACGGCCGTCCGCTTCCCTCCTCGGCCTCGTTAGTTCCCTGGCTCCGTCCGTTCACGGTGTGCCTCCCGCTTCCTGCCTGAGTCACCTCTGGCTGCCCCCTTCCCGGCTCGAGGACCAGGACCAGGAGCTTGCTGCTTGGCACCCATTGGGCATCTGCAGCCACACTGAGCCCAAGAGCTCTCCTTGCTCCTGTGGTTTCTCTCAAAATGCTTCTCCTGGGCTGTGCTCCCATCAGATTGTTACATGTCTTGCCTGCGCGTATGTGGACTGTCCTTCGTCAAAGTGTAGAAAAGTTAGTTTTCTCCCAAAACCAAAGGCCCTTAAACAGGTGATTTCTGTGGAGGTGGAGCTGGCTGGAGGGCAGGCGGTTGCTGGGCTGGTTTACTGGTGGCTCAGGGGCGGGGAAGAGTCCGCCGGGAGCCGAGCCCAGCGCGGGCTCCCAGAGGCCATGTGACATTCCGGGGCTGGCTGCATCGCGCACTGATGACTAGACGGCTTGTCATCCCGGGCCTCGGGAGGAGCGACCGTTCTCAGGCTTGGCCAGACTCCGTGTGCTCCATTCTTTCCGTCCCTGTTATATGGAATGCACACGATGCTATTTAATTACTTTAGCCCCTTTCCTAAAGGAAAAAGAACCTTGTCCAGTATTCCACAGGCACTACTAGTTTGAAGGTTAACGCAGGAATTTTCTTTGTCTGCCGACCTCACGGCCGTAAAGATCTCTCTTGTAGCTTCACAGCATTAATTAATTTCAAGTGCAATTTTGGCAGGCAGGCCGAGGGTCTCAACAGGCTGTTTGGAATGAGTTCTGTTTTTTAAGGCCTTTCGCTTGGTGAGACTTTCTCTGGATCAAAAAGTTGAATGGGAACCGGCCTTTATTTTGACTGCGTACGCAGTAGAATGCCCCAGCTTTTGTAGGCAGGTCAGCTGGTCGTGGTCACAATTAATTATATGTGCATATTATTACAGTGCTTATTAGGCAAAGGTCCAGAATATAGATATTTTTGCTTTTGCACTGTTCAGCTGTGGACTGGGAAAAGGTAGGTCATTCACCCTGTTTTTAAAAATTAATTTCATGTTGTAATTGACAAACAATTGTCACGTGGGCTACACAGTGATGTTTGATACATAGAACGTGCAGTGCTCAGGTCAGGGTAACCAGCACGTCCGTCATCTCACACAGCTGCAATCCAGCCTGCGGCGGGTGGGCGTGCGGGACGCTGAGGATGGGCGGGCGTCATGCCGCGCTATGGTTGTGACCCCGTGTGGCTCCTGGTGCCTTGAATGGCGGCTGGTCCAAGCGAGACGTGCTGTACGTGTGACTCACACTGGCTTGCCAGGACTTTGTATGAGAGAAGAATATAATATATCATCAATTCCATTTATCTTGGTTGCTTGCGTGTTGAAATGATAGTATTTTGGATATTGGGTTAAGTAAAATATTTTGTTAAAATTACTTTTACCTGCCATGTTTTACGTGTGAACGTGTAGGCGTATGAAGACAGGGAGTGGCCCTCCCAGGCTGCCTTTTCGTGGCCCTCTCGTTGTGGCCTCGCAGGTCTGTGCAGCCAGTGCAGGGCCTGGGCCTGGCCTCCCTTGGGTGTGTCAGGGCCTTTCCACTGCCTTTTAGGGGACGTCCGATTTCTGGCAGGGTGCTGGGATGTGACCTGAGTCGGGTGTGTCCCAGTGGTGCCCAGAGCGCTCCCTGCCATGGGCGGCTCAGCCGCGGTGGAGCTGGGGCAGGTCACCCTGTGTAAGACACAGAATAAGTTCAAGGCTCCACTGAGATACAGTGACAGCGTTCTCGGAGCAACGGCAGGGTGCCTTGCACAGGTCTCCAAACTCTTACCTTTTATTTAGAACAGCGGGGGGATGAAAAACGGAACACAAAATTGTGTGTGTGCGTGTTTCCTGGGAGCGTACGTGGATGTGGGGATGGAGAAAGACGGATGAAAATGTGCCGCCGCAGCTGACGCGTGGTCTGACCAGCAGCGATCAGGGTTGCAGACAGCTTTTGTTTTTTCTCTAGTGTCTCTCTCGTTTCTGATTTTCTACATGCAGCGTTATTATCAGAATAAAAGCAAGTGGCCGTGGAGGTGGCAGGACTCGTGCGTGGCTGGTGGCAAGCGTTCGTGTCAAGGGTTCTGGCGGGGACCTGGGCTTCCCTCGGGGCTGAGTCACAAAAAGCCTCTCTCCCCGGCTATAGTCCTGAAGGACGTTTAGGTTTAAAACAAACTTAAATCACATTTTAATGCAGTTGACAAGGACAGGGACTCAGAGAAGAGACTTGGCGCAGATCCGTGTCCCCAGCCGGTGGACACCGGGGCGGCCTCCTCACGGGACCGGAGTGCGGGGCTGTGTGCGGCGGCGCTTTCCAGCGGAGCACCTCGGATCGCAGCAGGATGGGCGCAGACGAAGAGGAACCTGCCACCCCTGTGGAGGGCTGCAGTTTTCTTTCCTTTTCATTACAGGGCTTGGGCACCAGCCATGTGAGCTCATGGGAGAGGGAGGTGGAAAAGACCTACTGTATGAGGTCACCGGCCCCTCCCCCAGCCACTGACCCCACCGTATACTTTCCAGAGCCCCATCCAGTTTTCTAAGTCATGACTCAACTGATGGAGTTTCCATCAGTTCCCGGAGGGTGAGACTCCGGCTCACACCAGGAGTTTATTCATCTGTCTCATGACAAAGATCACAGCGAGGACTCTGTGTTTGGAAAGAGCGACGTGGCTCTTCTCACCTCCCCTCGCTTTGCCGCGCCCTGGAGTGACCCCAGCCCCCACCCCGTCCACGGAGAGGGGTGGGCTCGGTCGGTGCGGGCTCCTCTGTGCATGCGGCAGGGCCCACCCCGGCAAGGCCCTTTCCGGTTTTCACAGCTTGTTCGCATTTGTGATCTCATGTGAGCCGCGCGTTCCCATGGAGGAAGTTGGATCTGACCGCCCTGCCCTCCCTCCTGGCCACCTCCGCCTTTGTCCTGTTTCTTGTTGCTCAGGCGTCGTCAGGAGGTATCGCCAGGGCTTCCGGTCAGGTCGGGGGCGGGCCAGGAGGGGCAGGAGGCGGCTCCGTGACTAACCCCCGAGCTGTCTGCATCCCACCAGGCTGCTGCCCTGCCTGCCACGGGGGAGCGCAGAGAGCCAGGGCGCCAAGCTTCCCGCTGTGCTCAGGGCCCTGCCCTCCACTCACCACTGCCCCTGCCGCAGGGGCCCGCCCGTGGGGACTCGGTACCCAGAGCGCCTCCTGTGGGTCAGTGTCTGTGGGTCCTTTCTCCTGACCTACCCAGTGATCTGGAACTCTCCCTGAAATACAGGTACACGTTTACTACAAGTGGTGGGTTACTAAAATTTCTTTTAAAATGTGTTCCTTTTTGTTGCCAGGTGAGTATTTCAAGTTGTTAAACAAATCCAGGCTCTGAGCATGCAGGTGAACCAACGCTTCGCAGTGAGATTCGGTCATGGACCCGGCGGGGTCAGAGCAGTGGGGCTTGCGCGTGTCCTTGGCGGTTGTTGAGCACCCGCCGCTCGGTATGGTGGGGACAGCGGGGCTGCGGTGTGTGCAGAGCGCAGAGGCAGCTCACCCGCGACCTTGCGCTTCTCTGCAGATCCTACAGAGGATGAAGGGGCTGGCCCTGGACACCGAGACAGAGCTGGAGAGGCAGGACCAGGCCCTGGACGGCATGGCCACGGCCGTGGACCGGGCGACCCTGACCATCGACAAGCACAACCGGCGGATGAGGAAGCTGATGTAGAGCTGCCCTCGTCCCACAGGCCTGCCCCGGGCTCCTGTCTCTGCCCTCAACGTGCCCCCAAGATGAAGGCCTGGGAGGCGGTGCTATTGTGCCGCTCCAAGGGATGTATCTGCCTCACTTGGGGCCTGAGACCCCGGGGGCCACGCGCCCAGCTCGAGCTGCTCTGCCCAGCGAGGGGCGTGGCAGCCTGGCCCAGCACTGAGGCTGCGTCTTCCTCTGCCGCCATTTCTGTGAGCGTGAGAGGAGGATGTCAGTCACGAGGCATCTCCCTGCAGGTGTCTGCAGGCAGCTTCTGTGAGTGGGCAGGGGTCAGGAACCCCCAGCACAGCCCCACGGCCTCCAGGGCACAGGCCTGCCCGCCGCATTCGCCCCGCCCTGCGTATTCTCTCATCGCCTTGTTTTTAACCGAAAGTGAAAACAACATGACTGTACCTTAAAAAAAAAAAGTGTTGATTTTGCTTTCACGGCTTTATTTCCATCCAGAAATAAAAGGGAAGTGCTAGTTTTAGAGTTTTCCTTAAAGATGCATGTGAGTGTTCCCTGCCAAGTGTCCCGGGGCGCCCTCGAGGACGTGGGGTGCATGGTTGTCCTGCACGGGGAGGTTGGGGTGACCCTGGCCAGTGGTCCCCCCCATCACAGCAGACCAGGACGGCCATCCCTCAGAAGCCCTGTCCTCAGGCGGAGTCTGACCCACTGTGGCCCTCCCAGGATGGCGCCCACAGTGCCACCCAGCTGGTGTGTGCAGCCTTAGTGCCCTGGAGCCCGATGTCTCACAAGCTCAGGCACCTGCACCAGGGATCGTTCCCCTAGGTCTGAGACCGGGAACCCCCAAATCAAGGTGTCCTGGGCCGTACGCCCTCCAAAGCTTGGGGAGACCCTGCATAGCCTCTTCCAGCTCCTGGGGGCTCTGGGCATTCCTGGGTGTGTGGCTTTGTCCTCACGTGGCTGCCTCCCCATCTGCATGTCTCAGATCTCCCCCTTTCTCTGAGGGACGCCTGTCCTTAGGCTCAGGGCGCACCCTAACCCAGATCATTCACTGGTTATACCTGCTGAGACCCCGTCTCCGAATAAGGGCCCGTCCTGAGGCTGCGCGTGAATTGGGGGCTGTTGTTCAAGCCACCAAGGCCAGCTGCACAGGAACGCTCACCCTCGGTGACACTGACGCAGTCCAAGGAGACACTGAAGGCAGCGTTCCAGACAGTCACCGTCGGGAGTGGTGTTCGTGTTCTCCCCTTTTTAATTTGGGGAGTTGTTTCCTACTCTCTATCTCTTTTGGTTTATACTTCGCAACCTCCAAAGGGGGATTCAGGCCTGTCTCTTGAAGAGTCTTTCTTTTTTTTTTTTTTTCCTTTTTCTTTTCCTTTTTTTCCTTTTTATTTGTGTTAATTTATGGGGAACGGGCTGGGCGGGTGGCTCACGCCTGTAATCCTAGCACTCTGGGAGGCCGAGGCGGGCGGATTGTTTGAGCTCAGGGGTTCGAGACCAGCCTGAGCAAGAGCGAGACCCCGTCTCTACTAAAAAAAAAAGGAAGAAATTATCTGGACAACTAAAAATATATAGAAAAAATTAGCCGGGCATGGTGGCACATGCCTGTAGTCCCAGCTACTCGGGAGGCTGAGGCAGGAGGATTGCTTGAGCCCAGGAGTTTGAGGTTGCTGTGAGCTAGGATGACGCCACGGCACTCTAGCCCGGGCAACAGAGTGAGACTGTGTCTCAAAAAAAAAAAAAAAAAAAAAAAAAATTTATGGGGAACGAGTGTAATTCTGTTGTGTGCATAGATTGCATAGTGGTGATGTCATGGCTTTCAGGGGATCTGCTGCCTGAATGATGAGCATTGCGCCCGCTGGGTAATTTCTCTCCACTGTCCCCACCCTTCTGAGCCTCCACTCTCAGGGCTTGTGTGTGCCTGTCGCTGACCTCCCACTTACAGATGAGCACACCTGGAGGTGTTTTCCATTCCTGAGATAGGATACTTCACTTAGGGTAATGGTCTCCAGTTCCTTCCAAATTGTTGCAAAAGGCATTAATTCATCCTTTTTTATGGCTGAGTGGTACTCCATGGTATACACACACCGCATTCTGTTAATCCACTCATGAATTGATGGGCACTTGGGTAGATTCCACATCTTTGCAATTGTGAATTGTGCTGCTGTAAACATTTGAATGCAGGTGTCTTTTTGATAAAATGACTTATTTTCCTTTGGTTACATACCCAATAGTGGGATTGCTGGATTGAATGGTAGGTCTACTTTTAATTCTTTGAGAAATCTCCATACTGTTTTCCATAGGGGTTGTACTAGTTTGCGGTCCCACCAGCTGTGTATAAGCATTCCTTTCTCTCTGCATCCACACCAGCATCTGTTATTTTGGGACTGTTTGATGATGGCCATTCTGATAGAAATAAGGTGGCATCTCATGGTGATTTTAGTTTGCATTTCCCTGATGGTTAGTGACTTGAGCGTTTTTTCATATGCTTGTCGGCAGTTTGTCTATCTTCTTTTGAAAAGTTTCTGTTTGTATCTTTTGCCTACTTTTTAAGGGGATTGTTTGTTTCTGTTGTTGAGCCGAGTTCTGTGTAGCTCCTGGACATCAGTCCCCTGTTCGATGTGTGGTTTGCAGACATTTTCTCCCACGCAAGACGTTGTTCACTGTGCTGACTGTTCCTCTTGCTGCACAGAAGCTCTCTGATTTCAGTCCCATCTGTCTGCTTCTGCTTTGCTAAGGCCCCTCGTTCTAATGCTGACCGGGAGCTGTGGCTCCTCAGTCCTCCTGGGAATCCAAGGGAGGCAGGCGCTCGCCCAGGCCGTCCAGGGCAGGCTGACCCCAGGGCCAGGGTAGGGTTAGGGATGCTCACAAGGCCGCCGCCCAGCCTGGGGGTGACGCACAGGAAAGGCCATCTGCCCAGACACCGGCAAGAAGCCGCGGACTCACATGGACGCAGCCCACGAGGAACAAGGATTCCCCCGAAGAGCTGCACACTAGGGACTGAAAAAAATATGTATGTACATTACATGTGCATACATCTACATGCACACGCATGCAGACATGGATGTGTACACACACCCAAATGCGCACACATGCTTTATACACATGCGTGTACATGTATGTGATGTGTCCACATGTTGCGTATGCATAAACACTCGTGCGCACACATGTGATATGTGTGCACATGTACATGTGGGTATATGCACAGACATCTCCGTGCACACTTGTATACTACGTATGTGCACATGTCTACATGCATACCCACACACCTCGCCCCCAGCGTCCCCCCAGGCAGGCTGGCAGCATCCCGACAGGGTCCATGTCCTCCCCCAGGGCAGCAGGGCCAGGCAGGGCCTGAGCCAGCCTTGGCGATTGCTCCCTGTCCACCTCCAGCTTGAGATGGTCCTGAGCAGCTGAAAGAAACCCGCCTGCTCCACTGTGCTGGATTCCGAGCCCAGAGCGCCCTCCTGCCCAGTTTCTGGGCTGTGCCCCTAGTGGCCAACCAGCACCTGTCCTGTGAGCTTCCATGGGCCATTCTTACCCACACAGCAGCGGGACATGGGACCAGCGTGCAGCTACACGTGGGGGGCGCGTCGGCACCCTGGAGGGCGGAGCTGGGACCCAGGCAGGGGCCTCCGCTCAGCACGGGGCTGAGCTGTCACCGGGGAGGGATGATGCCAAGGGGGTCGGGAAGGTGTGTGAACGCACATAGCAGTAAATGAGAGCCATTCTCCAGGGCCCTTTCCTGTCCAAGAAACAGTGAACTGGAGAGCAAGGGTCTGTTCGTGGAGACTTAAGAAGGCTATTTTAAGGAAGAAGCTAAGGGCACTTACTGCATTTAGATTTTCACTTGGACACATAATTTTTTAGCATCGACCCTGCCTGAACAGCACAAAATAGGAGCTAACTTTTTATAAAACTGTGTAAAGCTCCCAGATTGGGATGCATTTGCCAAAACTCCTTAAAATACAGGAACTACATCCACCTCCTCACTGTACCCACCCAAGGAAACTACTCATTTTGTTCATATTTTCTCTCGTGTGGAGTCTCCTATGTCCCCTCTTACCGTGCACAGGACCTCACAGTGTGGGGTGGGGGTCTCCCCTCTCCTGTCCCCTCACTGTGCACAGGACATCATAGCTAACATGGTGCGATGTGGTGAGAAAGTAGAATCTTCCCAGTAAAATCAGAAAGATGTGAAGGTTGTTCCTTCTCATTTTTTGTTAATATTTTACACTTAGCGCCAGCTAATGTATAAGAGAAGAAAAAGAAATAAAAATAAAACTATTGAGAAATTGGAATAAAAGTATTTGTTCACAGATGACATGATTTTCTGAGCACAGCATCTAAGAAATGACCAAAGAAAACTCCCTAGATGTAATAAGTATAGCAAAGTTTTAGAATATGAGGTGAATATACAAAAGTAAGTCGCTTTCCTATATACCAGCAATGGATGTGTGCAATTTCAAATTAAAAACACCATACCATTGACAGTAGCACCTCAAACAATGAAATTTTAGGTACAAATCTTTAAAAATGTGTATAAGATGTATATGAGGAAAAGTATAAAATTTTGATGAAAGTAATCAAATAAGTGGAGAGACATTCCATGTTCATGGACAGGAAGTCTCCATATTGTCAAGATGTTAGTTCTTTCCAACTCGATCTATAGAGTCAATGCAATTCCAGTCAAAATCCCAGCACATTGTTTTGTGGATATCAAACACATTCTAACGTTTATATGGAGAGGCAAAAGACCCAGAATGGCCATCTCAATACTGAAGGAGAAGAAAAAAGTTGGAGGAGTAGTATTTCTTGACTTCAAGACTTAGTTAAAACTTGACTTCAAGACTTACTTAAAACTTGCTGTAAAGCTACAGTATTCAAGACAGTGTGATACTGGTAAAAGAATAGCTACATATAT